GATTGAACGAAGATACTGTTTGTGTGTGTGCATTGGGTTTATTTGACAGCCTTGTTGACACAACAGAGGTAATAAACAGTGTCAGTATGCTGAAGTTTACATGGCACATATACTAATTAATACATCCCAATAAACTAGTTTAAATGCATTTTAGTTTTTATTGTCAAACGTTAGATCTTACTTTTAAGCTTTAGCCACCTTTGCTCTCCAGTTATAGCATAACACACACGACTTATATCCTGTACTTTCTTATTATTTACCTTTTATGTTTTGTTTTTTTTTTATAAAGCCTTAATCAACCATGCTGTATGTTTCCACAATTAACAGTTTAGATAAGTTTATCCACGGCTGCGATGGTATTTATTTTTGTTTTTATGCCTTTTACAGGACCATGAAGCTAAAGAACCAGAACAGCTCAGAAAGCTGTTTATTGGAGGTCTGAGCTTTGAAACTACGGAGGAGAGTTTACGGGCTCATTTTGAACAATGGGGAACTCTCACGGACTGTGTGGTACGTATTTTTATTGTAACCTGTGGCAAGATGGCTTCATGTAATAATAATGAACATTAACTTGTAAACACGGCCAGTTAAACCGCTCTCTCTGCCATTGATATCGTTTCGTTGTTTCTAGGTGATGAGGGACCCCAACAGCAAGCGATCAAGGGGGTTCGGATTTGTAACGTACTCCTGTGTAACCGAAGTCGATGAAGCTATGAAAGCAAGGCCTCATAAAGTAGATGGCCGAGTTGTTGAACCCAAGAGGGCTGTGTCCAGAGAGGTAAACAAATCCCAGACCAGCAGACAGAGTCTACAGCGGTGTTATTGTTTGGTCTGTGCTTATTGTGCCACGCTATGTTTCAGGACTCCAATAAACCTGGTGCCCATCTGACAGTGAAGAAGATCTTTGTTGGCGGTATCAAGGAGGACACCGAGGAGTACCATATCCGCGAGTATTTTGAGAAGTATGGAAAAATTGAATGCATCGACATCATGGAGGAACGCTCCACTGGGAAAAAGAGAGGATTCTGCTTTGTGTCCTTTGATGACCATGACACTGTTGACAAAATTGTTGGTATGTGGTCGTTTGAGACTCGAGAGTTATCCAGGCTGTAAGTAAATATCAAGCGCGGGTATGAAAGTGTGTTGTTCTTGTTTTACTTGCAGCCCAGAAATTCCACACAATCAACTTCCACAATTGTGAGGTCAGGAAAGCGCTGTCAAAACAGGAAATGAGTGCTATGTCCACCAACAGGGGTAAGCTCATGATAAAACGGAGAATAAAGTTATTAATTCAGTGACCAATATTGTTTATACGTAGGTGACAGATCACTAACATTACATACATCTCTAAAATGACACTTTTTCTTTCACATTAGGCAGGAGCGGAGGATCGGGAAATTTCATGGGGAGAGGTGGTAATTATGGAGGTGGTGGCAACTTTGGCCGAGGTGAGTAGTATTTGCATACCGGTTGAAAGTTCCTCTGGCGTTAACCACTCTAACGCAGGTGCATTTGATAGTGACGTTTAGTGGTCTCCTTTCTTTCCAAGGTTTATTTATTAAATGTCAGGTGTGGAACTGTATACAACACACATCCAGCATAGGTTATATATATATCCTGTTAACACAATCCCTGAACCCAAAGGCATCCATTTGTGTGATATTTACGTGTCAGAAGAAGTTTTGCATCACAACTAAATGGAGAATTGCCAAGAGCATTTGGTAAAACCGGCTACTCAGCTTTGTGTCTGCTCTGTTGCCTCCAACTCTCTGAGAGCACTTACTCTGTGTTTGAGCTCTTCTAAACTTACTATTCAGGCAATCTGTTGTCAGATAATGGGAGTATAAAACTGTGTTGATTAAGGTTAATCTTGTTAGTTGATAACGAAGCCTAGCAGCTGCAACTCCTGGGTTTATAATTATATTCTCATGTATTTCTCAGACGAGACAAATGAATGTCTCAGCGATAAGGTTGGGTGATAAGAAAGTCAGAGATGATGCAATGCAGAAATATGTTGTCATGCTTGTGAGACGTTATTAGTCACATGTCAGTATCCTCAAGGTGTTCTGTTGTCCCATCGAACCTTGTAGGCAAGACTGTAATTTTTCAAATTCATCTTCTTTGCAGTGCATTTTGAAAGTGCTGCCATAGTGTGGACAACAGGCCAGAGCAGAGAGAGATTGGTTTTCAGACAAACCGTCATTAGTGTGGACATGGTCCCCTCTGTTATAAAGCTACAGGAATAAACAAATTGTTCACAGTTCTAATGCATAATGTATTACCCTTGTTTTTCAGGTGGCTATGGCGGAGGACGAGGTGGTTATAGTGACGATTTTGATAATGGTGAGTTGTTGTAAAATGTAGTTAAAATTTGAATGAAGTGTGAAATGTAAACCTTAGATATTTTAAGATAAGTTTAATGGATTGCTACTATGTAGTGTACTTCTATGACACAACAATTGTGTTGTGTCTTTGGACACTTATGTTAATAATAAGGTTATGTTGCAATTTGGTTTTTCTCTATTATAGGTCCAGGAGGAAATTATGGTGGAGGACCGGGTTATGGAGGAGGCCGGGGGGGCTATGGAGGTGGGGGTCCGGGATATGGTAACCAGGGTGGTGGATTTGGGGGCAGCTGTGACGGAGGTTACGGAGGTAATGACGGAGGTAAGGTTATTGACTCCAGAGGTTTGACTGTTAAATTTAATTGCTAGATGTAATCCATAGAAAAGTTGCAGTACTAGACAGCTAAAATCTAAATTTAGCTTACAATTGACACTTACTTCTTCAGGATATGGAGGGGGTGGAAATTACAACGACTTTGGAAATTATGGTGGACAGCAGTCCAACTACGGGCCCATGAAGGGAAACAACTTTGGTGGCAGAAACTCGGGTGGACCCTACGGCGGTGAGTTTTCCAATCCACTCCATATTCACTGACAAACAATCATAATTTCTCCTGAAGAGTATTTAATATATTTTGCGCTGGCCGATCCCTAACTGCAGGTGGCTATGGCTCTGGTGGCGGCGGCGGAGGTGGCTATGGCTCACGGCGATATTAATTATTTCATGTTTTGGTAAGTTGCATTCAGTTTCGCACCACCCTCGTAGCACAGTACAGAGTGAGCCCATGAAAGTGCAGAATAACTATTTGTTCTATCCTGTATCCATTCAACAGGCTTCAGTTCTTAGCAGGAGAGGCGAGGAGGTGAGCAAAGGAATTGTCAGGAAAGCTGCAGGTTACTTTGAGGCAGTCATCTGAAAGCATTAGAGGAACACACAAGTCAGACAGTACTGCAGCTAAATCGGAGAAGTTTATGGAAGAAGGACTGTATACACAAGACATGAGTGCAGACGATACCCTTCCCTAATTGTGATAGATGTTTCCCTACTCAGCAATTTTTCCTTTTGTGCGTCTGAAGTGTGTGTATTGTGCCTATGGTATCAGGGGTAAAGAGTAAATTGTTCTTTTTTTATCTGAAGTGAGTTATAATATCTTTATTTTCCTTTTTTTTTATATGAGTTAGTTTTCTGCTGGCCAATTAATCTTTTGTCTTTTAACTTGGTTTTTGTCAAATAGCATAGTTATATCAGGCCCACAGCTGAGCTAGAAATCACTCAATTTTTTTCTTTCTGAAGTTATTATGATTGCTCAAGTGTCAAGTGTAATTTTATTTTGTATGTGAAGCACAGTATGTAAATCCTTCGTAGTACCAGTGTCAACAAATATAAGCAGTCTGGATTAGAATTAAGGGAATCCCTCACTCTTCTTGTTCCCAGGAACCGGATTCTAGATTGTTCGAATATTTTGATTAGTAGAAAAAGACCGAATAAAATTGTGTAGTAAAGTAACATGAAGTTCAGTGCGTCATTGGTTCAGAAAAAGATTGAATGAGTTATTGATTTATCTGTTGCCTGCTTATTGTGACTGTGAAGTTTAGAAAATCAGCCTGTCCAGAACTTTTTTCCCTCCTTTTTTTTGGAGAATTATTTAAGATATCTGGGGGTGAAAATAGTGTATATATACTGTATTTACTTGTACCAGAGTCGATGATAAGGGAGTTTTGGGTAGTCCTAGGGCAAGGGCCCATACACCACCTATGCCAGTGTTGAGTGTGTAGGATTATAACAGCCACAAGCACCTGCAGTTGGGCCCTCAGCATCGCTAGTGTGGAAGATTGCAGATGACTGTCAGACAGGACGTCTTCAGCCCCAGCACAGTGGACCAGTCAGCATTTTGAGAGAGAAGGGAGAAGGCAGCATCGAGCACAACGCCCATGGAGGAAGCTTGCAGTGTCGTTCCTGGTAGTGAGCATCTATCTCTCTTTCAAGGCTAGCTAAACCCTCCAGCAGCTGGTGCTAGCGAAGAAAGACTAGTTCCTGGACACATTGGAGATCCTGTTGAGTCAGAGATACTGCAGTTTTATCCACAAATTCTAGATTTCAGACATTTAACAAGAAAAGGGAGTGAGTATTTCACAAAATCTGACTTAAGAAGATGGAGCAGGTAAGAGTAACCACTTTGCTTGATTTGCAGATGTGGAAAGAGGCATTCTCTTCTTGCTGAAAATCTGTAAAGACCTGATAACATGGAAGGTTCTGGATGGGTAAGACTTTTTCAAAATATTATCAAAGGCTGCTCATATTGTAATCTAACTGCACATGGTGATTATACAAGGTGCAAGGGTTCTTTTAAGGTAAACCGAATCAGCCTGTGACCTTCACCACACTGCTCGAACAGCAAAATATGTTGTTTACATCTATTACCTTTTACTATCAGTCAGATGGAGTCTGATAAAGTTCATAGTGATGAAAATGGGGGCAATAACTCACCACACTGTTCCTAAGAATAAACAGTATTTAATATATATCTATTACAATTCATTACACCAGTTCTGTCATAAATTCTACCTTTTTATGAAGTTTATAATCTTCAGTTTCTGTTGACATTGTCAGAAGTGGATCATACTATACTGAGAGGTGTTTTTTGTGTCCTCCCTATTTGTAAGTGGTCAGAATATTAGAAGCAGTCCACCACCTTTAACTATGACCTCAGTGCTGAAATATATAATTAACTCCTCTATGACAGTGTCAAAAAACTTAATATTGTACATCATAAAAGTAGAACAGTTGTATTAGATGGTGCTGGTGTGTATATACTAATCTATATACCAAGCTATCACTTACATCATGCAGGGTTTAAGTATATAGAAATGCATGGAAATCAGAGGATCCTTAACCTCACCAGTCTAAATAAACAGAACAGTATAAACATAATAGAAAAGGACTGCTAACTCTCAAGGAACTTGATTGCCAAAGCAGGTCACGGTAGTGTAAATAGAAATAGTAATAGTTAAAGTATTTAATTTATTTAAAGGGATAAAATCAGCCCTTTGTTGAGCCAGTTTTGAAGCAAGGAGGTAAATCACAGGGGTATCTCACTAAAAATACTCTATTTGACATGGAGTCACATGAACATGCAAATCATGGGCGAAATGTGTCAACAGAGGAACTGTGGTCACAAGTTGAAACTAACATACAGTGATAAAACAAACTGTATACCGAGTATAGTCTTAAATGCTAGTAATTGGCATGCTTTACAGGAAGTGTAAACGGTTCATATTACTTCAAAGGCCAAAAGCTTTTTCATAAAGGGTTGACATTTTGTCTACCTTGTGAGTTCAAAATAAGTTAAGATGTCTGGTGGGAATTTTGTAAGGTTTCCCAAAAAATGGGAACTACAGAGATTCAGCTTCTGCGCTTAAAGCTTGTAATTACTGCACTTGATGATGTAGCAGTTAAATCACTTACTATATATAACATGGGAAGTTTAAACATCTGCTTTCATTTACAGATCTTAATTTTGAAAAATTACATTTTGAATAATTTAGAGATTCATACATATCAAATGTATTTTTAAATGTAATGATGTGGGATTTTCAAACATGTCAATGACCCACATGAAAACCTACAACACATTTAGGTTTTATGCATTTTAACTGTTTGAAAGAATTACACATGCATTTTTAGGATTCCATGCGGGTCAGGTCTGCCCGCTAATATGTCTCTCAGCTGAAGGATAGTGTTTCTACAGAGGAATGCAGAATGACCAACTCCATGACACAGAATAAAGCTGTGCTTGGCAAAGCACGCCAGTGTCAATGAACTGTGTTGGCTTAAATAGTAAGATTTTTAGATGTAAAAGTGTGACTTGTCCTTAAATAAAAATGTTTTCCATGACTTGAGTGTTTTATTTCAGAAAAGAGCATAAAAGCAATATGTCAAGCCACAAATGTTTGTCTTTATTGTACAATGCAACTTTTCTCAATGTCTTGATTCACAGACGTCCTTGAGTGTTACCCTACTCGCCAGTTTAGTTTGCCACACACCCTCGGAAGTTTGCCATGAGAGCAGAAAATGGGCTTGGTGATCAAAGGTAGTGTTTGTGTGTGAAAGTGCATGTGGCGCACATAACTGATTGCGTAGGGCTTTACCTTTGAATATGCTCGTCCAGTGGACCATTGTGAAGTTGTCATGCATGGTTAAATGAGCATACACTACTGTAGCTCAACAATTGTACTCTTTGTTGTGTAACGTAATGAATGCAGTGGGTGTGATTCCTTTTACGACATGAGTTTCACAGCTTTAAAAGATTTAGGTTACTGTACAAACAAGCTTGCTGTAAAATTAAAAAAAAAAAAAAGGCAAGCAGATTGTAAAAGGGGTTTAAGCTAATAACTTTTGTTTCAGTACAATAGTCAGTACTCGTTTGGCTGCTTTGTAAGCCCTTTGGTTGAGCCTTCCAAGTCAAGAACTGACTTGAACATGTGGTAAGTTACGTAATCATTCCTTAGACTATATATCCATCTGGCATCAATCTGTTGCAGGCTGTGGTCATAAAACACCACACAATGTTCTGTTTTCAGAAAGTAGGAGACGTATAGCTATATGAATAGTTTATTGAAAAGCACAGAAGATTTTATAAAAGAACCTGGGCAGCAAATCATAAAGGGACAGTTATAAAATATGAGTAACAATGATTGAAACAACCATTAGCATACAGAAATATATTTACAATATATATATATACATACAGTAACGTTTTTATCAATCTCAAAAGCAAGTAATGTTTATATTTACAATGTTGGTTAAAGAATCTGTGAAGGGTATCAGAGTACAAAAGAAGTAAAATATCAAAAATATTACAACATTCAAGAGAAGTGAGCATAAACTATACAATAGTTCTGCTGAGCTACTAATGCTTTAAAGCTGAGCGACTACAAAGTTATTGCATAGTATTACTATGATAATGCAGTACCGTATTACACAGGAGACACGTGGTCTTCGCTCTTGATGAAAGTCTTTTTAACGCGAGGGACGAGGAAGATGCTGCCGTTGGTTGACTGCTGGAGGGAGTAATCAGATGGGGAGTAGGAATTCCCCTTCTCATCTCTCAACATGCTGAAGACCTCCAGGTACAAGCTGTTGAGTTGCTGCTTCATTTCCTTCAGGTTTGCTGTGTTCTGGCTCTTCTCACTCAGCAGACGCTCCTTTTCCTCCTTCAGTGAGTCCAGCTCGCCCTCCAGACCCATTATGTTCTCCATCTTGCGTTTGCGGCAGTTCTGGGCAGCTACCTTGTTCTTGCCGCGGCGGCGTATGTCTCGGACCAGGGCCAGCTGGGCCTCATTCAGTTGGTGCTTTGACATCAGCTCGTTGAAGTCGTCAACAGGCAGATTGGTAATCATGGCTACAGTGAAAGGGATTTTGAGGGCCTTAGCCCTCTGCTCGTCTCTGGAGAGACGCACGTCGGAGCGTTTCTTCTGCTTGTCTTTGGTGAAGGGAGCATTGTTGTGGCCACTCTCCTCTGCTGGATCCTTCTTATGTTGTATGGGTTTCTTTTCCTGCTGCTGTTGTAGCTGGCCTGTAAGCGAAGTTAAAGAAAGTGCTCCCTGAAGATCATCAGGTTGGAAATTTATTGAGAACATCTCCGAGTAGTCAGATTCTGCACTTCCAGGGTTTTGGTCCATCTCCTCCATATCTGAATCGCTGTAAAGAAAGGACCCATCTCCATATACGGACTTCCCAGGTGAACTAGCATTCGGACTTGTGTTTGAAGAGATTCCTGAATCTGAGTCTGGTAATTCTGCCGTCAGACTTTGTTTGCCTCGGTCAAACGCATCTCCAGGTGAGAGGCTGTACAGGTCCAATGGTGTGAGGGGAGGCTTAGTTGGAATATCCGACATGGTGTCACTTTCATTTCCTTCAAGGCCTTGTTGACCACCGCTCTCTTCCAGAATGGCATTGGGGTAAAATATGTCACAGAAACTTTCTGCAGTGAAGTCAGTATTTAACTGTGGAGCTTTCGCCTTCATCTGGCTAAGATTGTCTGGTGGGGCCATACTGGGAACAGAGCCATCAAATGTATTCATAAACTCTGCAGGACAAACATTTACATTGTTTGTTTCCCCTTCTGTGAGATTGGTCATGGGGTAAAAGCTGTAGTTTGGATTCTGCACTTCTGGGCTGTTTGGAAGAGGATATGTTGTGGTCTCCAGTGTGTCCTCCATTTGCATGCTCAGGCATTGCTAGAAGAAAAAGACAAAGAAACATTAAAATATATACAACCAACACATAACAGGATCCTAACTCTGCTCTGTTTTGTCTGACATGCAAGGGGTTTACAATGACAACTTGTATTGTATGTGTTGTTGTGGAAGCATGCACAGTATGTCCTCCACCTACAGTAGCCTTCGAAACATGATCTGTGGTACGTTGTGATTAAGTTTTCCAATAATCTCTTTAACATGGAATCCACGTGGCACAATTTCAAAGCGACATTTTCCTCCTACAAAACCTAAACATTCAAATCTGGGATAAGTATGGCAAAATGAGTTTGCAGCATTCTATTTCAAACATAAGAAGATGCATGCTTAATCTGTTGAATTCCCTCAGTTGGGGCATTTGCCCATGCAGTTAGTCCAACTGACTGACTGGTATTTCAATGCTGGTAGAGGTTGGTGTAGCACAAGGTAGCCTTCTGTAATTTCCTAACTAGATATCCAGTTGGTAAAATACCTCAGAAATCACCAATACCAATCTCCCAGCTTGCTCTGGCCAAGAACTTTGCCGATAACGTTATCTTCACAAAGCAGAGCTGAAACAAAATGACTTAGTCTTATCAGCGGCTTGCCAGAGCAACTAATGCACTGCTGCTCGATGGTAAGCTGTATGGTTAGGATTGTAGTCCAGTCCACTCTAGTAAGAGGTCAAGGTAACAAATGGCACACCGCTCCACCCATCAGCTAATGCAAATACGAGCTGCCTTAAAACAAAACTGATAAGGCAGCAACTGAAAAACTACTGCGCCCACATGTTGTTCATTTTTAAGACCAAGCCCTCTCCTAACAAGATGTCTTCTTGTCCTGCAAACTGCATAACATCTTGAACACCCACCTCCCTAATTCCCTACAAAGCCTCAACAATGAAACCTAATCACAGTGGAATGAGCTGGGCGCACCTGTCTCACACATGAGACCCCATTCTCATACAGCAAACAAAAAAGTATTTGTCCTCTAATGCCGGGCTCCTGCCGTTGATGCATTCTTTGGGTGTTTGTTCCAACGAATACCAACGCAAACCACCGTGCCATTGAGGCGGTAGAATCCATGTATTATACCTGCAGCTCAGGGAGGGACAAAAGCTCCATCCAGGCCTGCTCCAAATCTGGGGACATCCTCTGTGGTGGCGGTGGTGTCGGCAGTGGACCTGGGGAGAGGGTGGCCGGCGGCAGAGCTGGCTGCTCCGGTGACATCATGGGTGGTGATACAGTGGTTGTGTCCAGGCAAACGGAGGTGTCCTGTCAGAAAAACACAAGAATATGACACGTCAGAGGCTGCAGGTTATGATGACACACGTGTGGTAAGAATGTAATGTTCTTACCTCAGTTTCCTCTACAGGAAATGTCTCTGCCAGTAGCTGCAAACATTCATCAAATGACATAGCATCCCCATTCTCCTCTGTGAAGCTGACATTCTGCAAGAAAGGTTAAAATACATACTTTTAAATATACCACCTAGCTTTCTTTGTGGCACACTATCTTTTAAAAACAGCACATGATTTTATATTAATAGAGCGTAGGTTTCTGCAGAGAGGTTTCTAGAGCAGAATACGCCGATGCAAAGCTGCAGACCCACCTGTGTTTTTGTAATTACACAGAATGAGGTGGTTACCTAGCTACAACATAGCCACAGCCTATCAAATGAGGTGGGAGTGGTCCACCTCTGACATGAGTGATGACAGCCATGTTCATGTACCTGTGTAACTTCAAGAGGTGTGACAGCCGACTGCAGTGGGGCACTGGGCAACGGGCGGGGTATGTACTCTCCCGTTTCCTCGTCGAGCTGTAGCTGCGCCAGCAGGGCCTTCTCCTGCTCCCGGAGCAGATGCAGCCTCTTCTCTTCTTCCAGCTCCAGCTGCCTCTGCAGCTCATGTTCTTTCTGACGGTGGTTGTAGTCGAACACCTCGCGCCTCGCACCGAGATCAATGTCCTGCTTCCACAGTATGTCAATCAGGTTCATGTCCTGGAACAGAAAACGGTAGGTCAGTTCAGAGGGTTGCGAGCCGTAGCCATGCTGCCCCGCAGTGAGAATGTGAGCAGCATCGGAGCAAGGAAGAGCGTCCCTGCTGTGAAGCGTGGCTGCTGCACCCGCCACACCCTGTCCCTCAGTATCTGCTCACTGACAAAAGCACTGGCACTAATGTCAAGGGGGAGAAGCCACATGAATAATACATGCACGTCTCTCTTTTCCCTGACGCTACCACACACCAGCAGAAGACATGTATCCTCACCTGATACATAGGATCATTACCCATCCAATTACATTGGAGGTGTGAATTCATTTGTGACATTCAAACTCAACAAATAGGAAGTCATGTCATGTTACAGTTTAGATCTCTAAATGAAGTGAAGTGAAATCCCAAACACCCGTATCATATTTTACAGCATTTATAAAATCAGGAAGATAAAGGTATGTTAAGGTACCGCGGTGCTTAGAGAAGTTATTCTTTCTTTATTAAACTTCATAACAGTAATGTTCCTAAAAGGGTGGTAATATAACCAAATAACATTATGAATATAAGGCTGTAGATTTTTTGCTGGGTGGAATTACAGATTCTGCACAAATAGTTTACATTTAGTATTTACACATCCAGTTGAGTGCTGCTGACAATATAGCATGTTAGACAGCTTACTAAC